GGAAAAGGGGACCAGGAACTAGAGAAAAGGTTAGATCAAAAAGAATTAACCTAGAAGGTAACACCCACGCACAGGAAATCAATGTGAGTCAACTCCCTGTATAGCTATCCTTATCTCAACCAGCAAAAACCCTTGTTCCTTCCTATTATGGCTTATACTCTCTCTTCAACAAAATTAGAGGTAAGGGCAAAATAGTTTCTGCTGGGTATTGAGGGGGTGGTGGGGAGAGGGAAGGGGTGGAGTGGGTGGTAAGGGAGGGGGTGGGGGCAGGGAGGAGAAATGATCCAAGCCTTGTATGCACATATGAATAATAAAACAATAAAAAATGTATATAGAGCTCCTGTAAATCACTGTGAAAATGGAATATGAATAGAGGATAAAAAGGATCCATAGAGAGAAAATGAGAAAAATTTGGGAGCCAATAAGTATCTGAAGAAAATGTTAAATCTCATGTATTTTTTAACGGGAAACAGTTTTTTATTTTTCAGATTTTATGTCAGTTATATAATTTAAATTTTTTATATTAAGCTTGAAATATGTACATAATTAAATTTCATTATAAAAGAGAAGGAAAATAAATAAAACCATGAAATAGTTTATGTGTTAAATAAGTAAAGATAAAGAAGCCTAGTAGTACATCATAGCTGGGAAGGTGTGATTAAACCAACTCTTATACCTTATGAGAGTGTAAATTTCAGGGCAACAGTAAATAACAATTCTACTTTTAGCAATTCATTTGGTATATATATTTACACACGTATAGGAATGTGCATATAACATTGTAGCACTGTTTATAATAGCAACAGGACAGAATTAATGCAAATGCCCCTCTAGAGGTGTGGCTCAACTGATAAGAGTACCTGCCTAGCAATCGCAGGGCCCCAAGTTCAAACCTCAGTGCCATCAACACACCACCACAATTCTCCTCTTGGGAATTAGGGAACTGGATGAGTGTGTTATTGTGTATCTATATAAACCACTATGCAGCTGTTAGGAAGACTGTATATGTGATGATTTAGACCTATTGCTAATACACTGTTAATGGTAAAAGGCGGAACGTTAAATAATATTATAGTACTATATTATTGTACAGTTCTCTCCTCATCTTGAAAGGAAGAGAGTAAGTGTCTGCAAAGAAAAGCCCCAGATCATAATCAGTCAATTGGTAACTGAAGGAAACTTAGTAACAAAGGTATGAACCAGAAGGATGACCCATTTCCACTCCACGCCCATCTGTAGCTTCTGAATATTCTATCATAAACTTGCATTGCTTGTTTATTTGTTAGTATGGGGGGATTGAATATAGTCTATTTAAATTTTGTTAATTAATAAAAATCAAATGGATCATGAATCATATTTTAAAAATAATCTTCCCTTTTTTGCACATTTGAACTTCTAAGAACATGATGAATACTCTAGTTAACAGTAGATTGAAATGTGTAAATTACTTATAGATGGATGGCACATTGTAATGTGAAAAGTGAAACAGCTAAAGCTTTTAGAATAAATAGAAGATCTTCTATGACCTTGGAATAAACAAGATTTCCTAAATAGTACACACACACACACACACACACACACACACACACACACACACCCATAAAGGAATGACCCCTGATAAACTGGACTACAGTAACAATAAGACCTCTTGCTCATTAAAAGACACAATTAAGAATTTGGTAAAATCTCCTATGAACAGTAAAAAAAAAACCAGACAATCTTAAAGAAAAATGGACACAAAACTTAAACAGGTATTTCACAAAAGAGGATAGCCAACACCCAATAAACATGAAGAGTTGTTCAGCATCATTAGTTGTCAGGGAAATGAAAATTAAAACCACAATGCAGTACTACTACACACCACCAGAGGGCATAAATTTAGAAAAGACTGACATTTCTTAGTGTTTCTGAAGATATGGAGCAACCTGAACTTTCACACGTTCCTGGTGGGGAAAATAAATTCATAAAACCACTTTGGAATGTTTTAGGCTGAAAATATGATTTCTTGTAACTCAGCAATTCCCTTTCTAAGTCTACACCCAACAGAAAAGCATGCACGTGATCACCAGAAAATACCTTCTAAAATATTCACAGCAGTTAATCAGAAATAGCCCCAAACTGAAAACTGATAGGATGCAGTGTCCAATATCATGGAAAAAGGAATTTTGACAAATTCATACAATGAAATGTTACATGGCAATGAGGATAAATTATCTACAAATACACAATAGTGTGGAGAGCCTCACAATTATAACATTGAGCAAAAGAAGCTCAGTCAGCTTCATGATTCCATTCATCCATGTTTCAGTAACAGGCCACGCAAACCCGTGATGCTTCAAGTCAGAATAATAGCTGTCCTGGTGTGAGGGAATGAAGGGAGGGTGCTGGGTTCTTTACACAGGTCAACTCAATTTATGAAAATTCATATGCACTTAGTGGGTCAAATATAATGTATGTATGTTAAACCTAATAAAAACTTTTAAAAGGAATGGATCAGAAGAACTTTCTAAAACTGGGGGTGGATGGCATGCAATTGTAAGAGTTCTGTGTTTTATTATCAGTTTTCTCTGGTCTTACTTGTTTTTGCTATTAGCTGGAAAAACTTTTACTCGATTTGGAAATAATTTCCTTTCCCTTATTCATGTCAAATGAATGAGGATGCATGCACTTGCAGCTGCTTCCTGTGGTGCATCCCAAGCTGCTAGCAAAGACTGACAGAGGAACATCTCTCGAGCTCTCTTTTCCAGGAGATGCATTGGCTCTTTCTTAACTAAGATTGAGGCCCAGTAGAAAGGAGGGAAATGCTGAGCTTTTTCTAAAATGTGAACAAGGATTGACCAAGTAGACTCAATATCATGATATGATTTGATAATAGTTACTAAGTACCTTGCGGATAAAAGCATATAGAATCTGAAAGAAAGGGGTAAAAATTTAAACAACTACTTTATCTTGAACATTTTGGTAGTTTTGCAGAAAATTTGAGTTGTGGTTTAAAGGATCAACATCAACCTTCCTTATTCTATAGAAAGCCACTTTTGGGACATCCTGAATTCAGAACACCTCAATTCAGGCCCCAAACCTTGTTTCTTATGGTGGATTTCACCTACATCAGAATCTGCATAAGACAGAGAAAGACAGGAAGTGCTAGGAGTTTAATCACTGATTTCTCAATTTTGTTTGGCTTCTCAAAGTCTCTTATACCCCAGGGTATATGCCATAGTAGATTGGGGAAGATGACATGCACAAACTCAGTTTTCATCTCAGACAAGGAAGTTTTAGAAAAGATCCCATATAGAAGTTGAGAAACTGGAAATTTTTTCCCCTAACCTTGTATGTGAACGTTTATTTCTTAGAAAGTCTTTGTTTGAAGACTGCTGTGGTAGATATTTGAACAAGTAGCCAAAATAAATAGATGTGCTAGTTCCTTCAGCTTTGCATGGAACAGTCAAGGGACAGCTAGTGAAAGGTTACATGCAACCGGTGGCTTTGTGTTCTTGATGGAAGGATAAGCATCTTTATTGTTAGTACAGGAACAGTTTCAACTGGAAAAAACAGTATAACTGAAAGTTACATTTATTGCAGCATAAAACCTGCCTTTGTACTTTCGAATCTTGGAAATGTGATCTCTCAAAAATGTGCCCATGTAAATATCTAATGAATTTAATGAGTTTTAGTTCACTTTATAAAGTTACGTGAATTTTGCAATTCTTCCTTAGAATTGTCATTTTAAAATAAGTCACTCGTAAATATTTATAGTAATATAGAAGGTATATTTTATGAATAAAATTCAGTTTATTAGACATTTTATTTTTATGATTGGATGTGGTAATTACAAAGACTTCCGCTGCGCAGCCTTACAAATTAACCTGAAGTTTTCCCACAGAAGATAATTGGGCCAAACAAAGTGCCAGTACCTCTATATTTGACCCTCAAGAATCAATTGGAAAACCAACTTCAGAGTTTATCAGTAGGGGAGCCTGCTTTTCTCTTGTGTGATTCCATCGTTAGGGTTTCTTCTGAGTTTCGTCAGACTGTCCACCATAATAGTGGTAATTTTTGACAAAAGGTTTTTATTAATAATGTGCCTAAATTTGAATGTTACTGAAATGAAACAATTTAAATGCTATCATTGAATTTAACTGTTGTTTAAAAAAAATGGATAAAATAGGTAGGGTTTCCTGCATAGGACACGGCACCTAGAACTTAGCACCTGCTTATCTGCAGTGAATTGAGCAACCCGAGTGATTCTGAAACACGCGTGTGAGGCCTGCTACCGTGGAGCGCCTTTCCCCCAGCACCTCACGTCCTTGAGACGGTAATAAACTATGAAACACTGCCCCAAAGGAGGCAGACCCCTTCTTTACCTCCTGATTATAATAGCTTTATCCACATTTTATCATCCTCTTGTTCAGCTGTGAAGTCAAGTATTTGTTTTCCTCCAAAATACCAAAAATTTTACTTCCAAACTGCACTGCAGTCACGTACAGAATGCTTACACACTGTGTTTACCGAATTACAGTGAAGAGCAAGTATCAGATTCACCGCCATAAAACATCTGCTCCGTCATTTTAAAGAAGAATGATGTGTTTAAAAAGTACAGGTATTTTAAGTGAGCTCAATAAAATAGAACCAGTACCACCTCTGGTTACACAGATGAATCTGTAGCTCTCATGGGCCCACACACACTACATAGGATAAATAGCACAGTTTTCCTAAAATGAAGGTGGCCTCCAGTCTCACTCTTTTCACAAACCTTCACACACTACACAAAAAGTTCACCGTCATTGTCACGGGCCATCCTCTGATCTAGAACATTTGTGAAATCGAAGTTGGATTTTGCAGCGTTGACAGGTCTGTAAATAGCATTTATCAGTAATCTCTGTGAAATTGATCTTTCTTTCCCATTTCATTATGAAAGGAAACTTTATTTCAGAGTAGAAAGTGCATTGTCTGAACTCATCAACACCCTCTCTATCCCTCCCCTCCCCCGTTTGTTGCAGACCAGGATGAGAGAGCAGCTGAGCTCAGCAGAGAGCAGAACGAGAAAACCATCCGGAGCACACAGACTGCGCTCCGCAATTTTCGGGAGTTCCTCATCTCCAAGTACCCTTCCGAAACCAGAGAGATCTATGTCATCCCTTGCAAGGAGTTGGATGCCTACCTTGCCTCTTTCTTTGTTGACGCCAGGCAGAAGGATGGGTCGGAATATGAGCCCAACAGCCTGGCGAATTACCAGTGCGGGCTGGAAAGGTACCTGAAAGAACACAGGTACGGCTACAGCATCACCAGGGACAAGGAGTTCAAGCGCTCCCAGGAGGCCCTGAAACAGAAACAGATAGAGCTCCGCTGCAAAGGGAAGGGAAACAAGCCGCACAAATCCATGAAGCTCACCTTTGCCGACGAGCTCATCCTGCGGAAGAGGGGCCTGCTGAGCCGGTACAACCCCGAGGGCCTGCTCAACCTCGTGTGGCTCAACAACACCAAGGCCTTCGGGCACTGCACAGGCTTCCATGGATCCACCTTGAAATGGGGAGACATCCGGCTCCGGGTCACAGAAACGGGGCTGGAGTACTTGGAGTGGATGGGTCAAGACACTGGCGATCTGAATGCCAAAACCAAGAGAGGGGGCACAGACTCGCGGGTGTATGCCACCCAGCATGCCCCGCAGACCTGCCCCGTGCAGGACTACAAGGAGTATGCTCAGCGGCGGCCTCCTGCCATGCGTTACGAGGATGCCCCTTTCTACCTGTCCATCAAGCCGGTCGTGAACTTGGCGGCGCTGCACTGGTACAACTGCCAGGCCCTGGGCAAGAACAAGCTGGCCAAGATGGTGAAGACCATGTGTGAGAAGGGTAACATTCCTGGCAGGAAGACCAACTTCAGCGTGTATCAGAGCTGCAGCACCCTGTCCGAGGCCCAGAGCAACCAGCTGGTGCTCATCTGTAACAACCTGAGCCAGCAGGCCGCCCAGTCAGTGGCCGGCCATTCCGGCAGTGGCAATTTCATCGTGTCTGCCTCCTATGACTCCTCCTCAGACACTGCTTGACCAGGTGGCTTGAGCAAGCAAGACCCCAGTTTGGTTGACTGGGTCCCGAGAAACTGGTTATCCAGTGCTTCTTGTTCCCTTTCATCTGCCCTCAGTGTTAACTAACTTTATAAAAATATAAATATATAATATATTTTTCTCGTTACAAATAAGCCAATGGCGATAGTTTAGTATCACTAACATAGTATTTATAGGTTAAGACAAATAAATGTACTTGTGGGTGATTACATGTAATGACTGTTACAGACTCGACAAAACCGTAGTGGTCCTCAGGCAATAGAAGAGAAAGAATTCCGTTTTAGAAAACTACCCGAAAGGAAACAGGCTCAACTCAGATGCTGTGCCCTCAGCTCCCGCTTTTTCTTCCCTCCTCACCTCTCACTTTTGGTCTCCTTTACAAGTGGCTTTACTTTTTTAATTTTTAAAATTCTGTATTAATCAGGAGGAGACAGTACCATCATTTACTACTCACACAAAATGGTATTCAGCCAGATCAGAATATGAAAGTGATATAAGCTCGACGTGGAATGATTTATGCATTCTTTTTGTAATGTAGGGTTTTACCTCCTGTGCCTCATTTTTCGCCATGTATGAAAATCCATTTGTTTAACGAGCATCTTTTCTTTGGGGGGAAAGGAGTAGTAGGAGGAATAAAGGTGCCATTCTTTTTGGAAGATAGGATTTTAAAAGAATATGCAAAGTCTGTTATTGTGGCAAAAAAAAGACTGTTACAGAGCTCATTTTTACTGGTGTCTTTGGAGCTGGATAGAATGTTCTTTGTCCTTGAGTCAGTATAAATGAAGACTTTGATTATCAGATTTACAAGAAATTTAAAACTACCAAAACCCTGAAAATATTCCCAAGCATTGGGTTATAGACCAGGCATAGAGAGAAAGAAGAGAACGAAGTCTTACTGAAAATCTTGAAGCACTGGAGGAAACAACAAAAAAGCTGTTCCTTTTCAAAGCTTAGATCTCCTGAGTTATTTATAAGCATTAACTCGCAGTCCTCTTTTCCCTAGGGTGTTACTTGACTCTGATTCTGATATTCTTTGATTTGAGATCAAAGGAATATTGACACTCATTTTAAATAACAATATATTTTTTTTTACCATTTAGCTGAATTCAAAGCTTTCTTGAAAATATGCAAGTTTCTTCCACAGTAAATATAAATGCATTTATCTGTGATATCCTATGGTTATAATAATAATAATAATTTAGTTAAACATTTGTGCTGGTTTTTCCAAAGTCTTTGTTTTCAAGTCTTGAAGACAATGATGAATTATTAGTTAGGCTTCTTCCAAAAAATCAAGTAAATTTAGACATTAGAGCTACAAGAAAGCTGAGCTAGATTCCTGTCCTGTGTAACTGTTAGCACACAGAAGGTCCAAATCTTTAATTGGTTTGTTGGATCTGGACTTTGGATTGGGAGGTGTTTGTTCTTTAAGGAAACCTCATGGTTCACATTAACTCGGAAGGTAGGTGGTATTTTAGTTAGTAATTTATTGTATAATGAAGACAAATTGCTAAATTGTCACAAGCTGAATGAACTCTTTCCCATGGCTGGATGACTTTTTCTGTCACTAAGTCATAAGTACATGAAGACCTTTCATTTGGCCCAGGAGAGGGAAGTCTGCCGTGGGTGTTATGTGGTGGAATTCACTTTATCTGCATGATGTTATCTCTGTAGAGAAGCGTCCATTTATATATTCAGAAACAAGAAAAGGAGATGATATATTTATATATTAATCCTTTCGATGACTTTGAAAAGTGTTATCACTGCTTTATGGTGAGATCACAATTAGTGCATTAGAAGGAAATGTAGTTTGACATCTCACTAGTCAGCTTTTTCTATTCAGCCTTTTAAGTACCAGCTTATTACTAGTTTCCAGTGATTTGAGCCAGAAATGGGGACAGTGTCTTTCCATCTCTGAAGGCTGTCTGACTAAAAGGAATCCCACGTGATCTTTCATGGCACATGCACACAGGGACCTCTAGCCCCACCCCACCGCCATGGCCATTCATTTTAAACCAGAGCCTCTTTCTCCTAGTTTTCTGTATCTTTATCCTCCTTATTCTAGAGCTGATCCATAAGTGACAAGGCTGTCTACTTTAAGGGAACTCATGTTTTCAAATCAGGTTATTTTATGTGGGCTACCTCTCATTTTTAAAAGGTTTCTATAAAACACTTAAAATGTTGTTGTGCATTTTATTTTTTAATTGTCCTAATTCCAAAGTCATTGATATGTTTTTGACAGCAAAGAAGTTTGCCTTGAGGCAGAAGGGTAGTCAATATACATTGAGAAAGCAGAACTGGAACATTTCAAATCCCTACTTGCATTTCTTGTGATCCTAACATGAAAATTGTCCTGCTTAATCATACTGCATTTTCATTTAGTTGAACATAATTAAATTGAAGATGTGAATTTTTTTTTTAATTTACATTTTGCTGTGGTAACTCAAACCAAATAGGAACATAGTGACACTGGATTCAGAAAATTTTTTTTTGAAGAATGGCTTATTGGAAGCCTAGCCAAATTATAGTATCTCTTTGAGTTATCTAAATTATGAAAAAACCTGCAACTACCTCTAAATTTTGTATTCTTATATAGAGAATACAGAGGACATGCCACTGCCAGATGTCACTTGTATTATTTGGAATTTTAACAGCATTTCACACCGTGTCAAGAGATAGAGAGCCAAAACCTTACATGTGCTTTAGGAAATTTTCAGAGTCTGGCAGTGTTCAGTACCACTGAACTGAGCATGCTGCCTTTTCAGGCAATCCTGTGGTTTGTACAGAAACAGTAAAACTATGTTTGCAAGGTTTACACTTGAAGATGGGTACTGTAAGAAATTCTCCAGTGCCCCTCACGTGACTCTGGGAATCTTGTGTTGCCTGCAACAAAAACACTGAGCTCATCTGTCAGCATCTGGATGATACAGTTGCATAATTCAACCGTTCTTCCATTTTCATGTGAGTAACTGTGTATTTTAACCATAGATGTTAGCAATTTAAAAAAAAATAAACTATGATACTTGGGAAGGTTAGAGATATTTGGGATGTTTATCCAAGACAGCTTATTATTGTGGTTATCAGGAATAACCTGTATATGCTTTATAAATACTTAATAACTGTTAAAATACTTATAACTTTTCCCCATCTTACAGTTTCCCTATGTTAATTTATTTCCCTGAGTTCAGTCACCGTCTGATTGGCAAAAGAATAGTCTGAAATTTTTCTGGCATAGATTAGGCCTCTAGGTTTTCAGGCTCATTGATCGTTGTTAGCTGAAAAGTCCATGGCATTAACTTGTCTAAGTCATGGCTTAGCTCAGATGCCATGAAACCAATGACTTGATTGAGATGAAAATTCATAGTCACATAAGCAGATATTGATTGAGCAGCTAGGATCTCGACACTGGGAGGGATACAAAGATATATAAAATAGTTCCTGCTTCTAAAGAAAATGTAAGACACAGCAATAAAAGTTTCACTTTTGAAAGTCCGGCACAAAGCTCTCTGCAGTTACCCTTTTGCATCGTCTTCCAAATTTTGTACTCCACAGTCTGTCTGTTATTTATTCGTTGAATATGTTGGTTTGCTGCAGAATACATAATACTACTTGGAGTATTTTGTGGAGAACCTTCCTTAGAGCCTGTTTTAAGATCAATAATAAGGCAAAGCCATTTCTGTAGAACATACAGCTCTGTTGTCAATGGCTGTCATTTATTGAGTATTTACTTACAGTTTGCCCTGTACCCAAGGCTTCTGTAAGTTGTTTTTCTTAACCCTCACAATAGTCCTTTTAGATAAGTATTGTTTCTCTTTTGTAAATGGTGAAATCAGAGAAGTCTCAGTTAATGTATCAGAGCATTAGCATCTGAACCTGGATCTAGAGCCCATAAGCCCGGTGCGTTTTCTGCCGTAGCTGCTGCTTCCAGAGGTGACTTGCTTGTGCATTTGCAGTAGACTCTGATGTGACAGACGGTAAATGCAATCCCGGGTGTAAGAATTCTCACCATTCACTTAACTCTAA